CGAGTCGAGTCGAGTCGAGTCGAGTCGAGTCGAGTCGAGTCGAGTCGAGTCGAGTCGAGTCGAGTCGAGTCGACTGTAGGTTGGGTTGGGTTGGGTTGGGTTGAGTTGGGTTGGGTTGGGTTGGGTTGAGTTGGGTTATATTAAGTTGGGTTTGATTGGGTTGGGTTTGGTTGGGTTGGGTTCGGTTAGGTTAGGTTATGTTGGGTTGGGTTTGGTTGGGTCATGTTGGGTTGGGTTCTGTTGGGTTTGGTTGAGTTATGTTGGGTTAGGTTTGGTTGGGTTATGTTGGGTTCGGTTGGGTTAAGTTGGGTTTGGTTGGATTATGTTGTGTTGGGTTGGGTTGAGTTTGGTTGGATTATGTAGGGTGGGGTTGGTTGGGTTGGACCCGACGCAACACGAATTAACCTGGCCTGACCCGTCCCAATACGTCCTCACCTGACCTGTCCTGACTTAAACTGTCCCTATATGACCCTAAACTAACGCGATCTGACCTAACGACCCGACCCAACTTAACCTCACCGGGCTCGACATGACCCGACCTCACCTGAACTGACACCACCTAACCTGACCCGACCTAAAGTGACTAGACTTTACCTGTCCTGACCGAACCCAAACTGGCACGGCCTAAACCGACGTAGCACGAGCTAACGCGACCTGACCATACCCAATGCGACCTGACCTGGCCCGACCCGACCTGAACGGAATTGACCCAACCTGATCTGACCCGACATGACCTAATTCGACCTGAAATGACCAGACTTCACCTGACCTAATCCGACCATGCCCGACCTGAATTGACCTATTCTGACGCAACACGAATTAAACCGACCTTGCCAGACCCAATACAACTTGACCTGATCCAACCCGACCTGAACTGATTCCACCTGATCTGACCCGAAATTCCCAGGCGTTACCTGTCCTGACCTGACGAGACGACCCCTACATCTAGTGCTACTAGACCCCAAAAGCGTGACGTTTATCACTTACCTGTTACATGAACCCTGGTGAACCGTATCGGACAAGGCATAATCTCCTGACACCGGACACAACTCACTGACTACCGAGTACTGCATTCCCAGACCGCAACGCCGAATGTCCTACACATCAGTTGCCGAATGGCTTGCAACAAACAAAGGGGCGCCAACAGATAGAAGGCACAATACCTTTAAAGTCCGTAAGTTTCCACCTACTATCCACTAGTTATTGAATGCCGTAATAGGATCACTACGCCGAACGGCGCTTATCTGAAACAAAGTACCGTGCATCAAATACCATGAATACCCAGTCGACGACACCAAATGTCGCACCCCTGGCACAACGTTCAGAACGTCGGACCTGGATTCCAAAAATACATTTCACACCACACATAGTACCGAACGTGGACACCGCACCCCATCTTTCCTGACACCGCACCCTGATACAACACTCCCGACCCCCAGCGCCTCACACTCTCGTACAGCATCTCAGTACTCTACCCCTGACCCCCTAGTTCCGTATTTCTAATACCGGCACGGACCCTTATATCGCACTCTTCATACCGAACATAGAAATCTTACTACGGATCTCCGGCCTCGCAGCAAACACCGCACCCCGATTCCGGAATATTGCTGTCCGACTACCGCATGGGATACCTGGCACAACATTCCCGAGCATGAGATAGGACCACTCCCGCATAAGGCGTTCAACACACATCGAACACCACAGTACATCATACACTGGTTATCAGACAATGCTGAACGGGCGCGGATTCGAGATACCAGATGCTGGGAGTGGAGTTAGATGTGTGTATGGTGTTGCGCGATAGGTTGCATAACTGGGGCATGAAGTGTGTGGCCATTTACTGTGGATGTGCGGTGTCGCATTTAGGCTACGAGACTTGGGTGTAGGATATGGTGAGATATGAGGCTCGAATTCAGATGAACAGAAAAATAACATGTACACAGCGTAGCATTATTAAACAAACAACATATTACAACTTCGAAACTTACTGTACAGTTGTTTAAGAAAATGTACTTCTTATGTATTTAAAACTAATAAAAACACTAAAATGTTAAATGTACTCACTATGAATCATTAACTCATCTTCTATAGCTATAGCATGCATAGCCCCTTAAAGTAATTATGAACTTATTTATCAGTTTATATGAATAAACAGTATAATGGCCTTTATTCCCACCATTATTGACTGCCAATTGTTGTTAGGTTAGCCGTAAGCAGCAAACAACAAAGTCCAGGGAGTCCTACAGCACAGTAGACTACTAAGTCAACGATCTGCAAATAATCGACAAAAAAAACAAATTAACTATGTTATAAAAGAAATAATATGAAACATATAACAAAAAAGCACCAAAAACAAAATGAACTAGCAAAATTAACAAAAGTAGCCCAATGTCAAATGAACTCACTAATATTTATGATCAGCTCAGCTATCTATCAACCTTCTTCTCTGTTTATTAAGTGATTCAAATGATTGTAACTTTGTTTTTATTAATAGTGAACACCTATTACTTAAACAGCTTGCTAATAGTAAAGTGCTCGTTTCTTATAAAAACCAAGTTAACCTTTTCGAACATTGTACTGATAAATTTTATACTAGTTTTGTTAATGAAAACTCCCTTGTATCATCACAGGAAGATGGTTCAGCGTTGCTTTAAGACATCATTATCACTTAAGCAACATATAGTCAACAACTAACAACAAGAGATTACTCACTTAAGAATTAGATGCTCACACAATCACAGAGATGATTCCCAGATATTGCCCTGCCATTTGACTGCAAATTCGTTCTAGGTTAATGGTAAGCAGAAAACAACAAAGTCCAGCGAGTCCTACAGCACAGTAGACTATTAAGTCAACTATCTGCAAGTAATCGACAAGAAAAACAAATGAATTATGTTATTAAGTAAATAACATAAAATAAATAAAATAAACACACCAAAAACCAACTGAAATACCAAAATTAACGAAAGCATTAGAATGAAGAAGCCAATACATTACAAAACACAATAAATTGTCAAAATAACAATATCAAATAACCATAGATGCATGTTAACCTCAATTTATGCAATGGAGAAATTGGGTGCGTTCCATGCGACTAAGGAAAAATAACAAAACAAAACATAACCTTGTCAAATGAAATAAACATGTTGCATGTTCAAAAATTAAGCCTGCAAAGTAATGCCAAATGAACTCACCATCGCATATAATCAGTTCAGGCTACTTGGTGATATTACCTGCATTGCACATTAGAGTAACTATCAACCTTCTTCTCTGTTCATTAACTGATTTCAATAAGTTTAACTTTCTAATAATTGACAGTGAATACCAATTACTTAAACAACTTCCTAATAATAAAGTGCTCGTTTCTTATAAAAAGCAAGTTAACGTTTTCCAACATTGTACTGATGAAACTTATACTAGTGTTGTTAATAAAATTTCGTTTGTAACATCACAGGAAAATGTTTTAAGTGTTGTTTTAAGGCTTCATAATCACTTAATCAACATATACACAATAAATAAGAACAAGGGATCACTTACATAAGGATTAGATGCTAACACAATCACAGAGACAATCCCCAGATGTTGCACCGATATTTCGCTGCAAATTCCGATTCAAAGGTTAATGGTACGCAGCAAACAACAAAGTCCACGGAATCGTACACCACAGCAGACTATTAAGTCAACTATCTGCAAATAATCGACAATCAACTTCTTGACTTCAAAAAAACAGGCAATTGTCAAAATAACAAAATCAAAAAACCATAGATGCATGTTAACCTCAATGCAATGGAGAAATTGGGTGTGTTCCATGCGACTAATGATACATGAAAGGAAGAAATAACAAAGCAAAGCATAGTCTTGTCAAATAAAATAAACATGTTGCATGTTAAAAAATTAAGCCTGTAATATAATGCCAAATAGTACTCACCATCGCATATGATCAGTTCAGCCCCCTTAGTGACATTACGTGCATACCATATTAAAGTAACTATCAACCTTCTTCTCTGTTCATTAAATGATTAAAATAAGTGTAACAAATAATTAATAGTGAATACCTATTACTTAAACAGCTTGCTAATAATAAAGTACTCGTTTCTTATAAAAAGCAAGTTAACATTTTCCAACATTGTACTGGTGAAGTTTATACTAGTGCTGTTAAAAATAAGTGTAACAAATAATTAATAGTGAATACCTATTACTTAAACAGCTTGCTAATAATAAAGTACTCGTTTCTTATAAAAAGCAAGTTAACCTTTTCGAACATTGTACTGATAAATTTTATACTAGTTTTGTTAATGAAAACTCCCTTGTATCATCACAGGAAGATGGTTCAGCGTTGCTTTAAGACATCATTATCACTTAAGCAACATATAGTCAACAACTAACAACAAGAGATTACTCACTTAAGAATTAGATGCTCACACAATCACAGAGATGATTCCCAGATATTGCCCTGCCATTTGACTGCAAATTCGTTCTAGGTTAATGGTAAGCAGAAAACAACAAAGTCCAGCGAGTCCTACAGCACAGTAGACTATTAAGTCAACTATCTGCAAGTAATCGAATTAAAAATTAACTGATACAAGCTCATCACAAGAAGATGGTTAAGCGTTACTTTAAGACATCATAATTATTTAATCCACATATACACAACAAATAAAAACAAGGGATCACTTACTTATGAATTAGATGTTAACACAATCACAGAGACGATCCCCAGATATTGCACTGCCAATTGATTGTAAGTTCGTTCTGGGTTAATGGTAAGCAGCAAACAACAAATTCCAGGTGGTCCTGCACTACAGCAGGCTATTAAGTAAACTGTCTGCAAATAATCGACAAATTAACTGTTAATAAATAAATAAAATGAAATAAATAGCAAAAACGCACCAAAAACCGAGTGAAATGCCAAAATTAACCCAGGTATTACAATGAAGTAGCCTCCACTTTAAAAAACAGAATCATCGAAATAAAATCAAATAACCATAAATGCCAAGTTAACCTCAATTTATGCTATGGAGAAATTGGGTGCGTTCCATGATACTTATTATACAAGAATGAGAAAATAGCAAGACACGAGGTAATGTTGTTAAACAAAAAAAAAAAACACGTTGCAGTTTCAAGAATTAAACATTTCAATATTTGTATGAGTAAATATAACAGGATTTTAAAAATGATTGGTAGAAAGGAAATGCGGATTTACAAGATTGTATCGGTGTATCGCATTGTGAAGGGTGTCATTATTTTCTTGCGTGTTGTTTGCATCCACTGCCGAATGCCACTTTGCAAGACGTAACTTTTGAGGAAAACCCACTGGGTACTATGTTACATTTATTTTAAAACAATTTTTCTTATTAATAACCACTGAATAATACACAATAGTTTGCATTGTGGTCTTTCTTTCACATATTTTTAAAAAATTTAGGTACACACAAAAATAGAAATGACAATCAAAAAATGTAATTACTAACATACATAAATATACCTACATAAATTAAATCTATTTGTGGCAATAAGAAAATAGTTAAACTCTTATAATTCAAACAACCTTTCTCGTTTTAATCTCGACGATCTCGTAGACATGGTTTTTGGGATAGAAATGTCTTCTGCTAACGGTACTCTAATGAAAAATAACAGTAATAAATTAAAAATTATTTACAGTAACGTTTACGTTAATTGGTAAAATTGACAACAAAAACGATTGGTGTTTATTTTTTTTGTTCTCTTTTTGTTTTCTGTTTTGTTTAATAAAATGTATCCAAATCACTTGCCTCGAAAAATCCAACAAATTTATTAAATGACAGTCGCTAATTCGCATTTCGCGTCACTTTTAACGCTTAATGTTTTATAACACATTCATTAACAAAAGTTCTTGACCACGTTGTCCACCTTTTTCAATTCTATTATTCTTGAACAAACTTACGTCACAGCAACAACGCATTGCCAAATCGTAAATTACTACGGCCAAAATTAAGAAGAACTGATACCATAATATACATTCAGTAGCTTACCTAGGTTTTTTGAAATCGTCTCCGTTAGTGCTCTCGCTCCGTTCTTTCTGCAAGAAAAGAAAAAAAATAAAAAAGTTAACAGAACGGCCGAACAATTATCGAAGCAAACTCGCCTTTTCATTTCTATTGACGCAATTGAGGGGATCGCACCTGCAGTTAGGGTTACAACTAAGCTGAAACTTTTTACATCCGCAGTTTCTTGTGGCGCACGATCCTTTACACGTGCAACCGCCTTCCGAACTTCGTTTAACTGTTTGGCTTGAAAACTCTATAATAAATAATAAATAGCTATTAAATTTATGCTCTGTCGACTTGCCACTTTTTTTACCTGGAGAAGTTTTCCTCAATTTTCTTATTCTCTTAGCCAATGGTGTTTTTCTCCAGTCGGGGTCAGCAACTGGATTATCCACTTCTACTTCGACGCTCACATCTAGTATATTCTCTTCAACCTGAAACATTTAATGTTATCATTTTAAAAAAAATGCGACATTAGTTGAAAATATTTGCATGCATACGTACAAAAAATTTACTATTAATATACATCGATATATATATGTTTACATCACGTACATTAAAAATATCTCAGGTAATAAAAAAACATTTGGTAATCTCAATTCAAGTCTTTCTTACCAATATGGATTGTATCGAAAACACACACTAATGACTTTCGTTCGTAATAAACCCAACTCGCCGAAAAAAGAATTTAAGTTAAGTATATATTATGTAATTCAATAACTATATTAAAAAAGGGGTACCCATCGTAAAAAGAAAACTTTAATATAATACTTTTTGGATACAGCCATTTAGAAAAATATAGTGACAATTAAAAAATAGTAAACCTTAAATAGAAATGTTGGTACAATGGCATGTGTATGTAAATAAATGAACGGTAAATAAAGGGGATCACTACTGTGTCTTCCCTGCGCTTTTGTGAAGCAAATCTGATCAAAAAAAGTCCATAAGAATGCCTAATATGGTTTCTGCAAAAGATTCAGGAAATAAAAAAAATACGGCAACAGTGGACCATTCTAAAAATTTATACGCATTTTGCATATTAAAAATGTGGCTTAATTAACGGAGAACTATAATTTACAGTGAACTGTTCAGAAATTGAAAAGCAACAATCACTTTTCTCAATGAAAACGTTTCATTTTGAAACCTATGTAGATACTATACATACCTCTTGCATTATACTCATCCATATTGGTAAGAGGGCAGTTTTCTCTAATTGCATGCCCATATTCTTTGAAATTAAACAGTACAGTCTAAAGGGAAAAATGTTACAATTCTAAAACTAAAAAACGCTTTTTATTATCGTCATACCGTTATGTCGTCTATGGTTCTTGCCAATTTGGAATTTTCTACTATTACTGTTTCACCTTCTTTCTGCTTTTCCTCTAGTTGTTTTTCCAACATTTCTATACGCTGTTGTTGTATGTTAAATCTGTAGTTCATTTCCTTTTCTGTATCTGTTAAAAAAATATCATTTGCTAATTACAGTGATTTACAAAGACAGCATGTATTTACATTCACAAGATACACCTATGTTTCCGTAACAAATACATAGATAACGTGACAAGTACATACATAACGTATGTATCGCAAACGAATATAATATGTATTAAAAAAATAGGCTTGCTTACCCGAAACCTGAACACCCCGTAACTGTCTTAACAAAACCGACACCTTTTCTTCGTACTCTTTCTGAACGTTGGCCATTTCTAATTGGTGATTCTGATTATTCTTGATCAAATTAGCCTCGAGAACTTTTAATTTATTGGCCATCTAATAGTGATGAAGGTGAATTAAAAATTTTAACTAAATCAACAACAGTCACATAATACTCGCCTCATTTTGACTTTGCACCAGTTCACTCATCCTGTATTCTAAATTCACCTCGTTCTTCTTTATTTCTGAAGTGAGCTGGAAAAGCATCTTCAAACAATACTTGGCTTCGTTCATTGTTTGAATATTGTCAAAACGTGCTCTGGATTTGTTGTCTAAAAATTAAATAAACACGTATCCGCGTTAATTTTTTAAACTTCTTTAAAATTATTAATGTCACCTTCGTCGGAATCGAGCAGTTTCTGTTGTAAATCTTGAATTTGAATCGAGCGCAGCTCTATTTCGTTTTTGAGTTGCTTAACTTCTTCCGAATCTTCGTCGGAAGCATCAGCCTTCAGATTTTCCATTTGTTGATGTAGTGCCGCTCTGTCTTCCAAAAGACCAGTCAAAGTCACTTTTGCTTCGATTATGCTCACAAACAAATTAAACTCTTGTCGCAGCTAAAAGAAAAAATGAAGACCATACACACATACTACACGCACTTAATACTGCCCGCACGCACTTCCATTGAATTTACATTTACTTTTATTATGTTTTCTATTCAGTTGTTTTTCGCCATGAAAGGCGCTGTAATCATATACGCAGGAACTTAGCGAAAGCACAAAGTTTATTTAGGTTTAAAAAATCAATCAATCAAGTATTATCCACTTCACTGAGCCATCGGACAATATTAATATTTAATATATTAAATAAATAAATCATATGTGTTATAAACTTACCCACGCAGCTGTCTGTTCGACTTTACCGGAATTTTTCTGTTCTTGTACAGCATTTCGCAATGCAAGTGCGTCCTTTAGTCGCTTATTGATGGCCGCTACCTCCTCCACTTTTCGTTTGAGGACGTTCTGCTGCCGACTGTGCATCGTTTCCATAACTCTCATCTGGTTCTGCCGTTTTCTATCCTGCTCTCGCAGCTTGCAGACTTCTTGCTCGCGTTGCTTCTTCCATTGTCTGAACTTGTCCGCTTCCTGTTTCATATCTCTTATTAACTTTACTTTTAATTGTTTCATCGACTGGATCTCGTTCTGCAGTTGTTTTATTTTCAGTTCGTCTTTCTCTTTCATCTTAATAAGTCGAGCTTGTTCAGTAACCTATAGAAAAAAAATTTTATTGCGTAAGTATATTGCTTTTATGTATTTTATAAATATTACGGTTAATGTGTTTCTCTTAAAATTTCCACCATAATAAATCATAATGATCTTATCATACACCTCAATCTCAATTGATATTGAAATATTATATACTATAATGCACCTACGTTGTAAATTTATTATTCTTTTGTTACCTTTCTTCTTAAATCTTGTATTTCTTTTTCCAGTTCTTGAATTCTCCTTCGCCGTATCTCGGCACCCTTAGCCGACGGTTCGTTACCGGTCGTCTGTGCCTTTTTTAATTGCACTAGCAGATCTTCCTTTTCTTTTTCAAGGCTATTAATTTTCTCTTCGGTCTCAGTTATAGCTTGATAGTCGACCATATAGCAATTGTTGCTGGCGATTTGCTGCGCTAGACGTTCTTTCATTGCCAGCATTTTCGACAATTCCTGTAACTGTAAGTCTTTCGCCATCTGATGGGCAGCATAGTACTCGTGTCGCTCTTTTAATTCTTTCTCCATTTCAATGTCATTCACTAATGCCTTGTTGTTGGTAAACATCTGATTTTGAATCTGCGCTACGTCGGCCTCGTGCATTCGTACTTCCTCTTCAGTTTTTTTATGTTCGGTGTCGAGTTCAGTTAATTGTAGTTTCATAATTTCCAATTTACGCATGTTTTCACGTATCATGTCCCCGTCGTTCTGCTGAATACTCAGGTTTAGACTGTTTAACGTCGTATCATATTCTTTCTTTATTTCAAGTAACTTTTCTCGCAAACGTTCGTTAGACGTCTGTAATATAATTAACCGTTCCAAAAGACCGGTCTTTTCGTTAATCGATGACGACAGTTGAACAGTTAACTCGTGTATTTTAGCCTTCATTTGGTCATTTTCTTTTCTAATCGTGTCTATTTCACCTTGACAAACTATGGGACCACCTGTAATAATTATATATTTAAACATTACATAGTATTGTTACATAAATACACTTATCGGACTATCTACCTTGACCAATTAATTCCAAACGCAGCTGCTGTATTGTCTTTTTCAAACGATTTATCTCTGCAATTTTTGGATCTTGATTGACAATAGGTTTATTCTTAATTTTTCTTGCTCTATCAGCATATCGCAAAGTTGATAGCGTCTCTTCTAGATTATAATCAGCTGGACTAACGCAAGCAATCATTAATGTGATGCTATTACCTCCAAGAGAATCTAAAATTTACACATTTCAGATCAATAAATAAATTAATTAATTAAATATATTAAATGATGTGCTTACAATAACATAATAAATGAACACAACGTTTAGCTATAAATTGCGTATCTTTGTTATTATGAGGTTACAACAAATTATTTTTTTTACTTATTTATTTGTTTATTTTTCACCTTTTAATAGTCTTGTCAAATTGCTGTCTCTGTAAGAGATATAACCCGCTTGCAGTTTTTCATCTCCCAAAGCAGATATGACATTTCCAAGGGCAAGTAATCCCTTATTTATATTTATGCCTTCTTTAAAAGTTTGTCCAGTTGCTCCAGTTTTCTTTGATCTTTCTGAACCGGCTAGATCTACCAAATGAAACTTTGCAGCCTTGTTTTGGTTACTGAAATTGATTTTTCCTCTGAATAGTTAAAAAGTATTATAGATTAAATTTTTACCTGTCATCTTTCTTTTGCATGCATAGGTTAATGGTAAAAATTGCATGACTACGACTACTTTGGGCATTCATATTAGTGGATCCCACTACCCGAGACAAAGAACCGATTCTTAAAAACTCCAAAGCTTTATGAGCACTATCAACGGTTTCTTCTGTTAAGTTAGGAATCAATATATTTTTTCCGTCATCTCTAATTTCGACATTACACTGATCTTTCGGTTTTTTTGACAATAAATCGTACAGTGTCTCCTGATAAAGTTCCATAAACGTTACCGTTACAGTAAAATCATAAGAAAAATTATCGCGGACGTAGGTAAAAATGTCGTGTATTGCCCGGGGTATAATTCCCATTTCACCCTCACCATCATAACAAGTACCCATGGTATAAGTTTTTCCAGAGCCTGTTTGTCCATAAGCCAATATGGTCACATTGTACCCCTACAAAAAGCATAATAAGCTAAACAGCTAAAGTTTTTTTGTATTATTAAACCTTAAACAAGTTGGTAATTAACTTCTTGGAACAACTGTTGTAAAATTCTTCCTGTGTTGATTCACAATCGTAGACGTAATTGTATGTGAAGGCTTTATCTGCCACCTGAACTTGTTGTAATGAAGGTATAACTTCTAAAACATTGTTGCATCCTCTAGCTATTTCTGACTCGACCAATGGCCTGATTCGTACAGCAACCTTTACCGAATCGTTACAGTCTCGATCGTTGTTTGGTTCGTTCATCTAAATTGTTGGAAATATATAATATCAACTACAAACTACAAATTTGCATTTATTAAAACCTCCAGCTATTTATTTAAACCTGCCAACTAAGGATACAATTTCTTATTATAAATTATCAAGCAAAATGAACAAAACCGACTCAAATAATGGTAGTACCGGCTTAAAACTCAAAAAGAAGAATCGTTTTTTCGAAATACAGTTATTGATATTATATTGAGCATTTCAAATACGTATTAGTCGAAAATTTTAATGAAGTACAATTATTGCAATTTGGGAAGGGCCAAATAATCAATTTAAAAGAATTACTTATTAAAATTATAATTGCCCAATATCGTTTTCGATGTTCACTTCAAAAATACAATTGCACCAATTTTTTAAAACTGAACAACCGATTCTTAAACTTATAAACGTACCTTTCAGATCAAACGAAAATGAATCAAAAAATTCTGTTACGTTTAACGCCTCCAGCAAACATCCGAAACTGGAAGAAAAAGAGAAGAAAACGTCGTGCTTTCGTGTTCGACCGTTACAAAGTTTTTGACATTTAAAATTGTTCTTTGGGCGATTGCGCAATGGGAAATTTTATGTGATTGGTTCATTGGTTTTTGGTATAGATGCATAGAGGTATAAAATAATGTAGATAACCATAGATAATAGGTAGGTATAACCAGGATCGGACTTTTAATATTTTGAAAATAATTCTTATTCATGTTTGACACAAAAAGTCCATT